TGATCAGTTCCTTGACTAGGGGTTGTCTGACTTTTGGGGCTCATCTGTTCAACCACTGACTACATTCTGGTTGAAACAGGAAGGGAACCCAGGATGCAGCAGAGAGTTACTGATGCTGTGATTGGTCAGGCTTTAGTTTGGCTGGGAACTTTGGGGGACTTCTTCCTGCAAGAAGCCACCTAGGCTGGGGTCTTCATGTTAACTACATGTTCTGACCACCATTCAGGCATACGCTGCATAATGTCCACTGTGGAAGATGAGATCAGAATGGATGCCTTGAGGAAAAGTAACCAGGGAAAAGAAGTATTTCTAAGGTTTTTTTTTTAAACAATTACATTCCATAAACAATGTCTCATTCTTTAAAAACTCTTTAATAGGAAGGTCAAGAAAGACAAAACTAATTTTGAGATATAAGGGAAATCCATTTAATTTTTAGGCTAACCAATTGTGGATAAAGCCACTTCAATTTTATGGGAAATTTGTGATTTAGTATTGTTTCATTTATTTAGAAAAGGTAAGAATTTTAAAAACTCAAAATAGAACAGTTCTTTTTGTAGTCCCAGAAGTTAAAGGATTTTCCTTCAGTAAAATGCATAGCCCTTTACTCTTAGTAAACAAGATTTTTTCCAAAAAAATCTTATCTTCAAATAAGTTTTATTGTAGGTATTGATATGCCTCACTTATATAGAAACTAGTAATATGAACTAGCCTTTCCTCCTTTTAGTGCTTTATTTTCAATTAACTTCAAAAATACTTTTCCATTTATCATTACTAAGTAAGCGTTTTAGAATACAAATATGCATATGCTATTTATTTTAAAAGCCTGGCAGCTGAGAATAGAATAATTTATGCATAGATGTATACCTGACATTGACAATTTTTATATGACATTTACAAGCCAGAATTTATACAGTGCTAGAATAAAAGCTAGATGATAAATTAGACATCTGATGATCTAACTGACCTACTAAAGACTTTACATTGCTTATTAAAAAAAAAAAAAGGAGAGAGACTTGTAATTCCAGCACTCAGGAGGCCAAGGCAAGACAATAATAAGTTCAAGATGAGCCTGGGTAGCATAGGGTTAGAGGCCAGCCTGGGTTATAAAGCAAAACTCTGTCGCAAGAAAGGTGAAGAAGGGGAAAAAGGCAGGATGGAAGGAAGGAAGGCAGGATGGAAGGAAGGAAGGAAGGAAGGAAGGAAGGAAGGAAGGAAGGAAGGAAGGGAGGGAGGGAGGGAGGGAGGAAGGAAGGGAGGGAGGAAAGAAGGGAAGGAGGGAGGGAGGGAGGGAGGGAAGTTAGGAGCTGAACACAGTGTTTTGTTGTTGTTGTTATAGTTTTTGTTTTGTTTTGGCCCATACTAGATTTTGATTTCAGGACCTCATGCTTTGTAAGCAAGTGTTCTATAGTTGAACCATGCTTGTAGCCCTTTTTTACCTTCATTATTTCTCAGATGAATCTTGAACTATGATCCTCCTACCTATGTTTCCTACATAGCTGGGCTCATAGGAGTGCATTACCCGGCCATCTTTAAATAAGAGATTCACATGTATTAATTTATTATTGGCCTAGACAAATTTTTTTCACCCCCTGAATACCTGTAATCTTTGTTCTTTCTGCAAGCTGGCAACCATTAATATGCTGAGTTTTCATGTGTTCCCGATATTTATTTATAGTTTCAGGTGTTTCATCTAAGACAGAGTAATAGGATCAATACTCTCAAGTGATTTTTAGCCTAGAAAAAGAAAGCTTCATACAATTTCTAGGAGAGACATTTCATTTGCTTAGTTCTTTACATGTGGGCTAAAGAAATTGAAACAGGAATATTCTTTTTGCCAAAGTCCAATTATTTATTGACAAAATGCCAAAGGCCAGTGATGACAATGTGATGACAATGTGAACTGAGACGAATGGTCATCTGGACCCTCTGCGACATTGGACATTCCATCATCAACAAACCAAAAGACCCCTCCCCACCTTGATTGCCCTAACATTCAACACCGCACTAGACTCTTGTACAAAGCTTACAGGAAAGTCCTCCTGTCATATCACACCATTTTAGGAATTTGACCTGTTAAAATATCATCTCAAAAAGAACTTAGACCATGCAGAGTTCACTAAAAGTTCAATTTTATGTAATTATATAAATTACTATTTCATGAGCATGACATGTTATTTAGGGCAAAAGCCAAAACAAAATAGCCTGAAGGGGACCAAGAGGAAAATTAAATTAGGATACCAGATAAGACATTATCGGACAATGCCAAAGAGAGACTGGAAAAATAAACCATTCAACCCATCGGTTGTATAACTTGATTGGTTTACCATGATTGACAACTACACAGAATATACGAACCTCAATCCTTGGTAATACCCAGTGTTCTGGGCTGATGTCACATATGTAGAGATGCATTTATACGTGAAGCTGATGCTCTGGATATTTATTGTAACAAACGATGAAAACAGAACTCCAGAAGTCATCCTGCATGTCTTCCGAATGTGAAAAAAGTCACATGGGATGATTGAATTCAGCACAAAATTTCAATGTTTTCCCACTATGAGAATTTTAGCATTGTCTTCCCAGTGGGAAACTCTGCCTTATCACGCCACTAAGTTCAGAATTTGCACTAACTCTGACAGAAGATGAAACTAATGTCTACATTTTATGTTTACTCAACGTAAGGCCCTTTTCCAGAGATGGTATAAATGGATGTTTATAAGATCAAATAAAAGAATAGACAGAAGTATTTTTTAAGCACCCATTTACATTGACATCAATTCCATTGCCAGAACTACAGAAGTCGGAGGAAGCATCTGCACCCTGTGGGTTTCGAGCATGATCCAAGCTGTGTGCTTGCCTGTGATACAAATACCCCTCCCAGAGGGGGACCACAGCACTGGGTTAGAAGTCCCGGTGGATATTTTTACACATTTATCAAAACAAGTTTCCTAGGAGTTCAACTAAGCAATCCTATGTTGATCACATGTGCTTAAAATGACAAAAAATATAATAAACCATGTAGCTTCCATATATATACATATATATGTATATATAAATATATACACATACACACACACACATACAGAGAGAGAGAGAGAGAGAGAGAGAGAGAGGGAGAGAGAGAGTCAGTCATGGGGGCTGAACTCAGGGCCTGGGTGCTGTCCCTCAGCTCTTCAGCTCAAGGCTAGCGCTCTACCACTTGAGCCACAGAGCCATTTCTGGCTTTTTCTGCTTATGTGGTACTGAGGAATCAAACCCAGGGACTCATGCATGCGAGGCAAGCACTCTACCACTGAGCCAACTTCTCAGTCCCAGCTTCCAAATATTTTAAAGTTATAATGTACTTTGATGGGCTCTTCAATTCAGGCAAGTTAATAAGGTTTTCTTCTTACAAACAGTAATCTAAAACACAAAATTAAGTTTGGGTTTAAGAGTCATTCTTGGAATTGCCATACAAATATGATACACATTCGATAGTAATAAAAATGCAGGTGCTAAGATTAATGCTCCATATATACTGCCGGAATAAACTAAAAAATTAAATTTGCCTGTGCATTGAGCAATTAAAGAGGCCAATACATTTCTCAGATATAAAGTCAATGACATATTGATAAAGCTTGTTTCTTCTGGAATTTCAAGGTATCTGACATATTGAATAAGAATACAATATTGTTTCATCAAAGTGAGATTCTAGGACTCCTTATACTTCTGAGAACATCTACAGTTAATTATTTGATAGGAACCAAGGTTAAAGACATGAATGTTCCGAAGAAGAAAAAATCTTCAATAGCTAATAAAGAGAGAAAGAAGCAAATTGAGCTTCCAAGAAAGAAAAAAAAAAAAAAAAACAAGATTAAAGTAACAAACATGACCAGAATGGCAAGTTAGGATAATTCAGAAAATGCCAATTTGGACATAAATATGTGAGAACCAATGCAGACCATAAGTTGATTATGAGTATGTAAAATAACAATGAAAACAAAGAGCCATGTTAGAAGGTGCTAATGACATGACTGATGATCTGGTGAAGTTGAACACCATGAAGATGGTCTTTTGTCAGAGCTTTAGGCAGTGTTGGGAGAGTAGTGGTTTCATACAACCAAATAGTTGGATCTTCCATTGAATAGAGAGACCTCCCTGGCTTGGAACTCTGCCTTTAAAATTAAAGGAGCTCAAAAAGGCAGGATTAGGGGGTTCTGTCATGCATTAAGGCAGCCTTTCAAACACAAATCCAACAGCAAAGGTTTGGTTAACCTCATCTCCCCTTAGTTTATATGTGGTTAGCAAAGTAAATAAAAGTTCTCTCTCTCTCTCTCTCTCTCTCTCTCTCTCTCTCTCTCTCTCTCTCTCTCTCTCTAAGTTCCTTTCCTGAAACACAATATCAAGCATCAGAGGAGAGCCAGGGACTCTCAATTTACTAGATTGTTTTTAAAAGGTCAGAATTTGAAAACTGAGGCTTAAATGGAGTTCTGAACATAGGTGATTTGGGGGTGGGGTGGAGGGTTCACAGCCCTTCTGCATTGTGGGTCATTGCTTTCAATACAAGGATGGCAATAAAGTATCACACAGAATGCCATCTGAGATGGACTGAGGGGGCCCTGGTGTGCAGGTTGAGGACAAGAGACTTGTTCCAGAGTGGCAGGAAAGAATGCAGAGCACACGAGTGACACCTCCCACAGATTATGGCCCATTCTAATCCTGTGTCTTTCAAACGACCTTCAAGATCTCTGAGAGGCAGCAAGGGTGACAAATGCCCCAACTGCACATCACAGGCCAGGGAGGTATGATGAGCTGCATGGGACAAGTAACAGGATGCAGCCAAGAAGGAAAATGCTGGTTCTTTCTTTAAAGATTCCTAGCTCCTTCAGGAAGAACCCAAAGGGAGACTGGGGTGGGACCAAGTTCAAGTCTCTAAATCATCCAGCCACATCTTCTCGGGACTGAGTACTCTCTCGCGCTTTTGTCTTCTTGGTAGAAGAAGGGACTTAGGACGCCACTAGGATGGTATAGACATTGCAATGTTTGCTTTGTTCAGTGTCTTTTCCGTAACTTTCCCAGCCTACAGGAAAGTTCCTGCTGAAGGAACTGAGCCATCAGAGGGCTTGTATGATGAGAGGAAATTACCCAAAGCGGGTTAGGTAATGAACTAACCCAGGAGACCATAGGGGAAACCGTGTCCTGATGTGAATCCCGAGAACAAAGCAGAAAGGGACTGGGGACTTCGGGTGGCCAGAGTGAGTGAGGTCAGATGTGAGCTGGTTGAGGTGGGAACCCCCCACTGGTCAGCAGCCAGCGGCTCCCCTGACTCCTTTTCCACCTTTGGAGTCTAGGCTGGTTGCCAAGCCTTTCCAAGTACTTCTCAATCGCTCATTCTTCCAAATACAGGTGATGGTATCGGGGCAGGCGTGGGCGTTGGAAGAAACAGGGAAAGGTTCTGTGTCTCTGTTGATTTGAAATTAATTAAATTCATATCCCCTCCATTCTCTGTTGGCAAGCCCCGCGGCTCCCTCAGGGTTGCTTCTTTTGGAAAACATCAGCAACACACACAGTGTTAGGATTCAGGGTCACTGTAACATTAAAAAGAAAAGAAAAGAAAAGAAAAGAACAATAGTGAATTTCCAAGAAGCAATGCAGAGGTGGCCACTCCACTCAGAGGTGACTCTGGGGAGCGCAAAAGGTCAGAACACGAACGCTGTCCAGCTTCCAATTTCTGAGACAAAGGTCAGTTTGAATTTCATATTCCATCCTTGAGGAGGAAAATCCACAGATGCCAAGCAGTAATCCCCAGCTCTCGTTCGAATGCCTCTCCCCAGAGAACCAGATGGATCGGGGGTTCCCTCCTTTAATTAAATCTAATCCGATTCTTTATGAATAGATGCCAATATGTTTTTGATTATTACTCTGTGTGTTTTCCCTCCAGAGTTTGTGATTCTTGTGTGTGTGTGTGTGTGTGTGTGTGTGTGTGTGATGTGTGTGTTTCAAAAGCCCATGTTGTGCATACCCACAGAGGATCGGGGGTACCTTTCCCATGTCATTTTGAATTCACAGAATTGAGATTCAGTCATGTGAGTTGACAAAAATTACAGACGCAGTATTTGACTATGGCTGTGCTGTTAGCTAAGTTGGGCTTTTGTTTGAGCTCACCTATCTTTGCCACATACCTTGTTTCACAGCTTTCTCCCCCCTCCCCCAGTGGACCTGCCCCTCCACCCCCTTTATCCAGTTGGCTACAGGCTGCAGGCCCCTCCTTACTTGTTTTAATTTTACATTCCTTCACCCAAATTCTAGGACATCTCTACTTCGGTGAATTCTGTCTCCAAGAAGTGCTTGAATGATTAGCTCATAGGTGTGCATACAGCACGTAGTCTTCTAACTCCTACTTCAATAAGACATCCTATCTTAGCCAGGAGTAGTGGTGCAGGCCTTAATCCCTGCTGCCCTAGAGATGGGAGTCAGGAAGATTGCTTGACTGATTTTCCTGGAGGTCACCTTGGACAGCATAGAGAGACCCTGTCTCAAAAGAATAAAGAAACAAAAAAAAAATCCTAGATGTTTCCACAAAGACCTGATTTAGATGCTAGGCATATAGATAGATTTGTCTATGACAGGGGAGGAGAAGTTGTGTGTATGTCTGTGTGTGGTACTGGTTGGGGTACAGTTGTGAAGACAGTGAACCACTGAATAGGAGGAGGAGGAGAGGGAGGAGAAGGAGGAGGAGGAGGGGAAAGGGAGGAGGAGGAGGAGGAGAGGGAGAGGGAGAGGGAGGAGGAGGGGGAGAAGAGGAGGAGAGGGAGGAGGAGGGGGAGAAGAGGAGGACAGGGAGGGGGAGGAGGAGGGGAGAGGAAGAGGAGGAGGGCAGGACTTCATGTACAGCTGGGAAGTGAACAAAGTAACTTCTATAGCAAACTGTACTTAGTGTGGGTATCTGATTGCAAATGAAGAAATTCGGAGGACTGGGGATGTGGCTCAGTGGTAGACGGCTGACCTACCCAAAGGGTTCCGTTTCATACTTCACACCCTACTCCCAGCACAAAGAAATGTTTGATCTGAAGAGCAGGTGTTACTGCACCCTTCCATTGTGGCACCCTGGGGAAAGAAGTTTCATTTCTTGGAAACTGGGTGGCAGAGAGAGAACCTTTCTAAGATCCATCTCTACAGACCCAAAGTCTCCAGATTGCACACTTTCATTTGTGTGGCCTATCTTCACATTACAGCCACTCATGGTTCGAAGCCAGCCCAGGCAGGAAAGTCTGTTGAGACTCTTATCTCCAATTAAGCAGTCAAAAAAAGCTGGAAGTGGAGGTGTGGCCCAAGTGGTAGATCACTAGTCTTGAGTGAAAAAACTAAGAGACCAGTCCCCAGGCATTGGGTTCAAGCTCCAGTACCAACACCAAACAACAACAAAAAGGTTAGCGATTACTGACCTATATGTTTTCTGCATTTTTCCTTTTACCATTTAAACTTACCTGGAATTTCAGCATGAAATCTGATGGGGATTCCCCCCAGGATAACTTCTTTCAAGACCATTGAATTATTTACTTGCTTCAAAATGTAACTTGAATGATATATAAAAGATTTACCTACACTTGAAAACTGCTTGGGAATTTTCTCTTCTGCTCCTTTAATTTAGGAGACTGGTTTGAATATCAACATGGTCATTTTCACATTGTTGTTTTCATTCAGGGACTCTCCATTTGTCCTCAATGAAAATCCAAGGGTGAAGGGCATAGCTCAGTAGCAGAATGCATGCTTAGCATGTGTGAGGTGCTACGTTCCATGTTCCATACCCATTAACAAGTAAATATTTGAACCTTTAAATGGATCATCCCATGCATTTAGTTTTTGTTAGCATCTCTGGGTATTTCTAATTTGCTGTGGTGATAATCATAATGGTGGGTATCTTCACAAGTGGTTTCACTAGCATAGTATTAGAGCACAGATAGGGTTTGAATCAGAGCTCAGTCAGCTCTTTGCTGTGTGACCTTAGGCAAGTTAACCTTTCTTAGCCTTAGTGTTCTCCCTCCCTCCCTCCCTCTGTCTCTGTCTCTGTCTCTGTCTCTGTCTCTGTCTCTGTCTATCTGTCTCTGTCTCTGTCTGTCTGTCTCTGTCTCTGTCTCTGTCTCTATCTGTCTCTGTCTCTGTCTATCTGTCTCTGTCTCTGTCTATCTGTCTCTGTCTCTGTCTGTCTGTCTGTCTCTCTCTCTCTCTCTCTCTGTCCTGGGGTCAGGGTCGGTCAGGGTCTGGGATCTTCCCCTGATCTATTCTGCTCCAAGTTAGTGCTCCACCACTTGAACTACAGCTCCTCTTCCTGCTTTTGGGTAGTTAATTGGAAATAAGAGTCTCACAGACTTTCCTGCCAGGGCTGGCTTCCAACCCAGATCCTCAGATCTCAGCCTCTTGTGTAGCTACGATTACAGGTATGAGCCTCCCGTGCCCAGCAGCCTTAGTGCTCTTGTGTCACCTCATCTACAAAGCATACCTAGTAATACCATGTGCTTTTCAGGGTTGTTGTAAAAGAAAAACAAGGAGTGGGGTATAGCTTAGGGGGAAAGGCCTTTCCTAGTATGAATCAACCCTAGGTTCCACCCTTAGTACCTACACACATATAGAATAAAGGAGAAAATATCGAAAGAACCCAATGCTACAGACTGGACAGAGATACACATGAGAGTTAGTGATTTTTACTTAGCAGACTTTACACTAGCAAATATTTGTGAGCAAAACACTAGCTTGAACACTGTTTCAGATATTCAAAGAAATTATCTTCCAGGGAGGGTTTTCTGGGTGGTAAAGCACTTGTGTATGTTAATACACAAGGCCAAGAAAGGAAGGAAGGAAGGAAGGAAGGAAGGGAAGGAAGGAAGGAAGGAAGGAAGGAAGGAAGGAAGGAAGGAAGGAAGGAAGGAAGGAAGGAAGGAAGGAAGGAAGGAAGGAAGAAAGGGAAGGAGGGAGGGAGGGAAGGGGAAAGAAGGGAGGGAAGGGAAGGGAAAGGAAGGGAAAGGAAAGGGAAGGCAAGAGAAGGAGAGAGAGGGTGGGAGAGGAAGCAAGAAGTAGAAGGAGGGAAGGAAAGAAGCAGAGAGGCAGGGAGGGGGAAGGCAGGCAGGCAGGCAGGACCATTTGAGGACCCTCATCAGCACAATGACACTGTCCCCCTTTGGATCCAAGTCCTCTCACCATTGGTGGGACATTAGGTCACCCCCAAGGGTAGTTGTCCCCGGGGGCTGCCAGGCTGGAGAGTCAGCAGCCTGGGATGTGGCCCACCACCTGAGCCTGGAGGCATTTTCTCTCATTCTTTTGTTTCATGAGATGTGTTCTCTGCTGTCTGCGGTTGTGTATCATCTCTGTGAAATGATCAAAAAAGCCCAGACAATTCTAACTCTAGCAAATCCTAGAGTTCCTGTTTTAAAAAAAAAAAAAATACCTTGGCAAACTGCCACTGAATTGCAACAAATAAAATGAAGGGCTCTTCCCTTCAAACCTCTAAGGTTTGTCTCCATGTGAACGAGTGTAGTTTTAGCAACTTATCTATGACAGAGGCATTAATGAGTAATTTGTCTAGAAGTGTTGCAGGGATACATTAAGACCGTGGAACACCTTTCCCAAAACCCTATACATTATCAACAGGCTGACTAATCATAAAAACAAATTGCACTGACTAAAAAGCATCACCATAGGAGCCTTAAGAAGACACTTAATTGGCATGCTCCCCACTGAATCAGAACAGATTCCACTCCAAGTCCTTGTGTCATGACTGCGTCTTTGTTACACAGGGATCAGATATGTCATCTGCTCTCCTGGCCAGTCTATCTTGCAACAATCCCTCTTTATGTGACCGTAGCTAATGCAGCCTGCCTCCGAAGAAGACAATAAGCCTGCGCTAAACCTTTCTCATGTCATAATGCTCTCAAACTCAGTGTTGGGGCACGAAGTCACGAAACAATTAAGTCATCATTATACTGTCCCTTCTCCTACCTACCCACAAGAGGACTGGCCTGGGTGGAGTTCTAGAGATCACGTATCTAGCAAACAACAGAGCCAGGCTTACTAGTTAGTCCAAGGCACATACATCATGCCCGTAGTGAAGACATGATCTGGACCACTTTTCAAGCAATGCTGTGTTTTTTTTTTACAGTAAAGCACACCTTCCCTCACTCCTGGCATGGGCGTATGCCCACAGAGACACAAATACAAGTGCCCACATACCTACATTTAACAATGTTATTTGAGGTTATCATTCTGTGGGATTATAAAGTGTTACTTTGTATCTCTCATGAGAACAAGTCTAGATTTTTTTTGGGGGGGGGCGGTAAAGGGAAGGAAAGATTGTCACTTAATATTTGTTGATTTCAAGTATACTTTTAAATGACTTTTGAGGGACTAGGAAGGGAACAAGGGAAAAAGAAACTAAAAACAAACAAACAAACAAAGGGGGGGGCGGTATTTGTGGCCACAGAGATTTGCCTGAACAGAAAGTCCAAACAACGACAGCCAATTTAGACAAAATTGCTGTTTTCTTGTCAGTAATGGCACTGGGTAGGAGACACTTCATTCATTCACCAAATTCTGTCATGTGTCTACCACCTGGTGGTTCACTTCCTTGATACTAAGTGTTAGGGTTTTTAATCTAGAATTTTTCCTTAGTGTATGCAATATCTCTTTTGCTTTAACTAAGTAAGGAAAAGAAAATGTAATTTTGTAAGACACTCTAGATTGGAGCTATTACAAATCTGCCATGCCGACTCAAACCAGCCACTTAATGTGTCTTTTCAGGTGGATTATTTCTCTTATAATGGTTGTTTTGACAGGGTCAGGCACCTAGTAGGTGTTCAATAATACCTTTTGAAAAACTATATCAGATATAACTTTGGACACACACACATCTACACACATAAAAGAAGACAAAAAAATAGGGAAGAAATTGCTTCTAAATGCTCTATTAAACTAGCTTGGAGTTTTCTGGAGAAATATTAAAGAAACCCATTTATAAAATGCTGTTGAGCTAAGAAACATGAATGACAGGACAAATAATATAATTACTGTCCTTTAAAAATAAGTATGGTCTTTCATACCTTCTCTGACTTAATTTCTTAGGTAGTAGTACATGGGCATCTAGACTATAGAAAACATTATGTGAATGACTTATTGTTGTTGTTAGTATTATTATTACTAATACCGTACTGTACAGAATCATAAAACCACCAGAATATCATACAATATAATCAAACTCTTTCTTTCCCAACATTATTCCTCACTGTAAACCATCAATGTGGCCAAGAAATAGAAAGGGGAAGAAGATGAAAGCTTGCTAGTCATCATGACTGTTTGTCTGTGCTTATTTATCTAGAGTATAGAGAGAAATACCAAGTGTTCCAGAAAGTTTCTAACTAGAAATGCCTCAAGGGAAAAGGAAGAGGCCGCCTGGCCTGTGGGGAGCCTGGATAAAAGGCAGCTCTCTCTTCCTTGTTTGTGCCATATCGAGTGACATTTAGGAGGGTGTTGGAGGGCGGAGTGAGACAATAAAGTTTCTATGGAGAACTTAAACAATCAATCATAAACCAAACTAAATGGATTTTCTTTTTTGGTTCTCATCATCTGTTGGCAATGTCAGTGATGAAATTCTCTTCAACGCTAGGACAGATTTCTCCCACTGTTCTCCTCCCACCCCTGAGAATACTATTCCTTTGTCCCATGCCGGCTGCCTAACAGGGATTGTGGGAAAAAACATGCTAAGGTGAAAAATAAGAATAGAGAATTGTCTCCTCCCCCACAATCCCTTGCTATCTTGCCCAATTGTTTTCATCTGGTCCTTATTGAAGTGTGGTGCTAGTGGAGGGTGTGCTCAATGGTAGAATGCTTGCCTAGCATGGGCAAGGCCCTGACTTCTAGCCCCAGGACCAATGAAGAAATCTTGTGTTGGATTTTAGAGTCTATAACTTAAGAAAAATGTCCATTCAAGAGGAAGGGGGCATAAGAGAGTAATAGGAGAGGTAGCATGATCAAAGAAAATTATTCTATGTGCATATATGGAGATGTCACAATGGAACCTATTATATTGTACAATTAATATATGATAGTAAAACATAATTTTAAACTAGATGGTGGTAGATACCTGTAATCCCAGTACACTGGAGGCTGAGGTAGGAGAATCTCAAGTACAAGACCAGCCAGGGTTACACAGTAAGATCCTGATTCAAAACAGCCACCAAACCAAAAGAATAGCAACAGCCTTCCATTCAATGAGACAGGGAGAGCTGATAGAATATACACGAGAAGTTCTGAAAGACTGGACATCTGTAACAAAGGAATAGTGTGGAGATCAAGCCTGCACACACTGCATCTTATGTATGGCATGATCATCAGACCCTCTCTTTTTCCCATGGTGAAGGGGACTTACTGTCAGCCAGAGGTTTCATGTTAGATACCCAAAAGAGATGAACCCTGTAAATGGATTCTGGAAGTCTGTGTTCATCAGGAGGATGGCTAAGTATGTTGTCACTAAATTCAATCTTCAGTGATCGTTACCTACTTTCTGAAGCATTAAATTCACCTGCACACTGCTTAAGCGATAGAGGACAGATGAGTCTCCAAGGTGAATACCAGTGGGAGACTGGGTACTAATAACACATCAATGCAGGTTTATTGATTGTAAAAAGGTGACACTGTGGTAGGGGATGCCGATAACAGGGGAGACTATGCATGTGCGGGGCTGGAGGATATAGGGAATTCTTTGTACTCAGTTAAATGGGATCAAATCTTTTCTGCACTAGTGTTAGATCTTAACATTAAAAAAACCCAGAGATGCTGGGTGCTGGTGGCTCACGCCTGTAATCCTAGCTACTCAGGAGGCTGAGATCTGAGAATCTTGGTTCAAAGCCAGCCAGCCAGGGCAGGAAAGCCTGTGAAACTCTTATCTCCAACTAACCACCAGCCTGAAAAAACCAGAAGTAGAGCTGTGGCTTAAAGTGGTAGAGCTAGTACTAACCTGAATGAAGAAGCTCAGGGACAGCACCCAGGCCCTGAGTTCAAGCCCCTCTGCCGACAAAAAAACTGAGGCTTGCCTGAGTCGCTGTCTATGATGTTGTTATACAGAGAGAAGGGTAGGATGGGGTAGTCAGCTCTTAGGTGAGGCTGAGCATCTGACTGCTCCATTCCGCTGTCTCATAACCAGTCTTTGAGGCAGCAATGGGTCTCAGGGGCTGCCTGATGACCGTACTGCATTCTGGGAACCTTTAAGATGACTGACACATAACTCTCATGATCACAGAAGAGGAGGTGGAGGATGTTTTTCCTGCTTGCAAACCCTCCTCTATCTGTTCTCACAGCAGTGTAGGATTCCCATCACAGGTTCAGGTCCTCTGCTCCTCAATGTCACCTCCCTGCCAGTAACTTGGTGCACCTCTCTCCTCTCTCGCAGTGCTGCTTGGCAGAGCAGATCCTCAACTTGTTAAATCATCTTTCCTGTTTCCTTCAGGCTCGTGACCAAACAATTCTGACCAAACAAAACCCCCTAAACATGGCCATTCCTATCCTCACAAAAGATAATACAAGTGAAACAAGATTATGGAGTGCTAATAAATTACAGCCAAGCCCCAATGCACTGAAATTTTCTATCAAGCAGAGCCACCTAGTGGTAGAATGGAAAATGTAGTTTGGGATTTCATTTAATTTTTTTCCCCTATAATAATTCCATCCAGGTGGGTTACAGTTTTGATGATTATTTTTGTTCTTTTGACATTTACTTTTTATTCTTATTTACAATTACACTCTTTGAAACCATCATTTCCATCTGTTTCCTTACCAAACATCCATCTATCCAAGGTAAACAAATCGTTTGTTATCATTGAAAAGTCTATGACTAAAACAAGCCAACTTGTCTCTTTGGAAGAGACAAGGAAATACCAATATTAACTTACTGCTAAATACAAAGAGCAACTAGGATACTTATTTTGCACTTACAATGCACACTTACTCTTCTCCAGCCAATACAAACATACCTCCATGTAAATTGCTGTATTAAATTGACGTGGAAAAATGGGCAGAGTGATTTCTGTAATGATTTCCAGCCCCTTCCCACCATCCTCAGAGAATCTGTGGCAGAAATTAAAAGTACCTGGGGTTGTGGTTTGATTCCTTTTCTTCCTTCAGAGTAGGTAAATATTCACAGTCAGCTAGGACAGAATAAAAGCAAACTTACCATTAGTCAATGAAATTCTCTTTTCTATCCATAAAACAGACATTATTGAGCATTGACTTTCTCTGGCCTCTGGTGACCTGCACAGAAAGAGCCTCACTGGAGATTTCTAGAGGTTAAAAGATTCATAACGGCAAGGTTCTGGAAATGGAGCGAGCACTAGCAATGCACGTACAAGACTTCAGCTTGCCTATGCTTACCCCCCACGCCCCCTGGGAAGGGCACAATTTATCACTGCATGCTGGTCCAGTCCCCCTGGAAGCCCAGCATCACTTTGAAGACAGAATCTGCTTCTTTCAGGCCAGACGCTGGGAGAAATATGTCTGCCTCTGAGGTCCTGGAGTGTCAGGCCACACAAAGAGAAATGGGAAGCTGGGAGCAACCATCTTACAGGAAGCTGCGTTCTCCTCTCTCACACCACCTGTTGTTTTTAAGGAATGAAAAGTTCTATTGGGTCTATCCCCTAGATATCAAAGCAGCTCTCTGCATTCCTTGCCAAATAGAAATGCCCTCTGTGATTTTCCTGGCTTTGGTGAGCATGACAAGATCGTGGATTTGTGTTACACAAAATCTCAGGCTCTAAAGGAAATATATCAAAAGATTGTCTTTGGATGAATTTGTCTCTTCTTACCACTTTTTATCATTCTCTGATTTCTACTATGCATGAATATGACAACTAGAAATAATAGCATGCAACTCTAAGCCCTAACTCAGTGACCTGCCTTATCTTTAAATGCACTTTCCCTCACTATGAAAAATAAATAGGAGATTGCACAAATTCATTGTGAGGTTCTAATCTTTAGGAAAGTGCATCTTGACAAATGCAGAGTACCATTCTTCTAATACAAAAATGTGAATCTGAGAAAGTTGCACTTGAGAGTTTTGAGCCTAAATGTTTCTTAGATGATCTAAGATAAATGTGAAAAATATCAATATATTCACATGAAAAATAATTTATTGATTTTTAAAGAAAACACAGATGTCATTATTTTAAAGACCAACCATTGATTTAATGGAAAGTAGTGAGATATATACTACTACTACTGCCAGCTATCAATTGGAAATCGTTATGTGAGAATACTTATATTTCTATCTACATCACTCCTGCCCAACAGAACTTCCTACAGTGATGAAAATATCTAATATAGTAACCATTGAATAGAAGCCCTAAACACACAGCTAAATCTAAATTCTATTTTCATTTGATTAATTTAAATAGCCATACAGAGTTAGTATCTTATATCTATATATATTATATTGGATAGCATAAATCCTTATGCAGATTAAAACAATAGATCCCTAAATTCTATAATATATATGGTAATGCCAGATGTTTTATCCAGAAAATTTGGCCTCAGATTTCCTTGCAAAGAAAAAACTCAAAAGATCCAGGCTAGGAATGAAGTTCAGAAGTAGAGCTCTTGGCTAGCATGCGAAAAGTGCTGAGCTTGAGCTCTAGAACAATGTAGAAAAGGAAGAAAGGGTAGGAAGGGAGGGGAAAGGGAAGCAGAAGGGAAGGAAAGGAAAAAGGAAGGAAGAGAAAAAGAAACCACTTTTTGCTTTTTTTTTTTAAATAAAATGGTCATTTCAACAACTTGTACAAAAAAAGAAATGGCAACGCCTAACGTGGATATATAAGGACCAGGCAGGCCTAAGGTTATTGTCAATACGCACTAAGTGGAATGTGAACTGGGCTCCGTCCAGTAAATTCCTTTATTGAGGAATTTACTTATGGCATTGTTGCAGCCTTGGTTTACTATGGAGGAAAGCAAAATGCTTTCAGTTTCCACTCACCACTTCTATTCATGGTGTGCATCCACTTATCGAGCTCTTCCATCTCGATTTCCATGACCGAGGGTGTATCCTCCTCAAAAATAGGTCTACACAAAGAACAAAAAGGCTTGTTTTTTGCTTTGTTTTTGTTTCCTTCTTTTTTAAGTGCAGTGTGCTGAACTTCACTTGAGGACTCTAGAATGTTGACTGGGAGGAAATTGAACTTGACTTAGTATCTGACAAAATGGGCTAGCCTGTAAGGGAAGGGGGGAGTTGCCTTACTCAGAAGAGTATCAGCCTCTAATAGGAAGCAAAGTAGACACTACCACAAACTCACCTCTATTGTTAATTCCAAACTAGTCCTCGAGCCAGCCATATGGGTGAAAAGGGACCCCAGGACATGCAGCTCTAGAGGTATGAAGTGAAGACTGCTAGGCCACTCAGGGGAGTTGCCACACTTAGCATTTTAGCCTTGCTTAATTTCACTTCTCTTTCCTTGGGGTTTTTGATCAGTGCCCTAGATCAAGAGGCCACGGTCAACAGGCAATCTTGGTCACATCTTTCCATTCACAGGTTTTTCTAAGTAGAGGGCACGGAGCTGTTGCTTTCAAAAAACCCCTCCCTCAACCTCCCTCAGCCTCAGTCCTCCAGGGCTCTGGGTTTCCAGGCAGCAGACAGAGGGAGTTAGTGACAATGGGGTAGGAGAGGAATGACCATCCACTGTGAACACAGCCCAGGAGGTTCACTGGGGAAAGGATGTGGGCAGTTTCTAAACCTGAGGCTATTGGAAGGGCAAGGGTGGCATTACCCCAGAACATATCGGGTGGAGTCTTCCATGAATCTCAACTCTCCTCACTTCCTCCTCCCCCTCCTCTCTTCTGTCCCTCCCTTTCTGTCTCTCCCTTATTCTCTTTTCTCTTGCTGGTTCACACAGTGCAATCTTTCTACACCAGCTCAAGTATCTTTCCTGGTTATCAAAGTTCTAACCATTATATAGAAACTAACTTTACACACACACACACACACACACACGCACACACACACACATCCAGGGACAGAATATTTAACTACTTTTAACTACTATGCACTAGGCATTGGTAACAGACAGAAAAAGACTGGAGGACCCTAACTATGCTTTTCCATCACTCAGCTAGCCAGTGACCCCAGCGACTCAGAGTCCGAGGAACCCAGGAAACAGGGAGCAGGGTGGGAGGTGGGAGGTGGGAGGTGGGAGGTAGGACTTACACTTTCAGAGTTTCACTTCCCAGTTCATCTAAAAAGGAATCAATGCAAAGGTCATGTTAGCTGGTTCCTCTGCAACTTGAAGCCTCCTTTGCAAAGAGAATGCAATAGCTTAAGTGAATCACATTTTGGGTAAGAATTAAGGTCCAGGTACAGACTGCCATATTGAAACGTCTGTGTAGATTTGGGTGGAGTGGTCTCCTGAGAGCACTGCACATCCACAGGAGGAGGTAAAGAGTGAAAAGGTTACACCAGAGAACTTTGGCTTTGGCTCCAACACATAGTTCTAAAATGGTTGGACAGCAGTGACTCATGCCTATAATCCTAACTACTCAGGAGGCTGAGATCCAAGGACTGCGGTTCAAAGCCAGCTTGGGCAGGCAAGTCTGTGAGATTTTTATCTCCAACTAACTACCAAAATGCTGGAACTGGAGCTATGGCTCAGGTGGTAGAACACTAGTCTTGAGCACAAAAGCTAAGGGACAGTATCCAGGCTTTGAGTTCAAGCTCCAGGACCAGCAGAAACAATCCCTGGGTCTCGACTTCAATTCTCCACCCTCCATTCAAGGAAGATTTCTTTTCCATTGTTCCCCAGCTTGCTTGCTTCCTTCAGAGTATTGGCCACGATTTCTCACTGGTCAGCCCATGTGTGATGGTGTTCATTTGGTGGCTCCCACTGGTCCATATTTCCCAGAGGTCAGGGACCACGTCTGTGCTGCCTGCTGTGCCCTACCCAACCCCCTTCCTTGCTAACACCATCCCTGGCAAGTGCCTTGTAAATATTTATTAAATAAATGAGCTGGTATTCATCTCAATGGTCCAGCCCTGGGGTTAAATGCAGTCTTTTGGGGGCTCAGTGTTATTGTTATTTTAATAATGAAATCTTCCAACAGCCTGCTGTTGTTGGCTGGAGAATGAGTCAGGTAGCCGTTGACAAAATAACTCGCATGTAAATCAGACTCATGTGGAAAGAATGAGAGCCTGGTGCCCTGGCCCCAGCTGTTACATTCGCTGGGAGGGCACACATACCTGGGGAAGTGGCACAGTGGACATCTAGTGAGCGAATACCACAGGACTCCTGAACCCTTTATGAGGTGACAGCTATTGACATCTGAGCATCGCTGCTAGTCCAGGAGAGCTGGGCACAACTTCCTGCCATTAGTGCTCTCCTTGGGGAGGGGGGGGGACTATGAACAGCACCCTCTTCCCCTACCTGAGGGGAATCCAATAATTTCTGAAGCTGCTTGAGTCCTCACCAACTTAGACTGAAGGTAGACGCCCGAGGGAGGACTATTATATATATATATATATAATATATATATTACATGCATATATAATATATACATGTATGTATATACACGTATATAATATATATTATATGTACATATATATACACACACATATGTGTATATGTATTATAGCTTTAATCTAAAACTTATAGGCTATGTCCTTAAGGGATGTTACTATAAACAAAGCCCCTACACAATTAGACCTCCCTACAGGTAACTCATAAAGATCCTCCTGTTGTCGGTCTCTCCTCCTCGCCCTCCCCACCCCTGACTTCCCAGAGAGCAAGCGCCTGTACAACCCCACTGCAGTGAGCGTGGATTTATCTCTATAATCTGAGTCTCCGCAGGCTTGGAGGTGAGCGGGAGCTAGCTCGCATGCAGATGATGGAAGTTTAAAAGCCCATTACCAAAGTGCTCCAGATGTACCAAATGGGAGCTCCTGTAATCAGTATTAAAAAAGAGCAAAAAGCCTTCTGTGGCCTCGTCTTCCCTGCTCCAAGGCCATTACCCCCTGGCCCAGCCACCATGGCAACAGAAAAACATCTGGGAGAGCGCACAGAGCAGAGCATTAAGCCAGGAGGGAGACCAATTACTTGTCCTCAGCAATCAGGCCCCGCCACTCCGCTCCACCTGGCCCACATGGTTTTAACTGCCACCTACTCCCTTGGCAACTTGGGGCAAACGCGGCTCTATGCAGCCCCCTCCCGTCCTGATTCCATTTGCCTCTTCCAGTCCTTCTGTTTCATAGCCTCTCATCCCTCTCCTTTGCCTGACGACACTATCACCCAGCTCCTGGCCAGGATTGCTGGGCTGGGCTGGGGTTGGAGCTGGGGCAGGAGGCTCTGGCTCTCTGCTGGCAAGTGCACATAGGCTGTCTCCCCAGACATGTACTAAGCATAGCTAGGCATTGTGCAGCCAGTCTGTTTTGAGCAATGATTTCCTGCCAACTGTTTTCTCTGCAGTTCTTTCAGACACCCAGCACATGAAAACACTTAGGAAATGTTAAATACCACCAACTGCAAGTTTCATGTCTGCAGTTCCAGTAAGGAGGAGAGCAGAATGTTCAAGTACACAAGGTTTTGGATTTTTCTCCCTTTTCCTGAACATGGAAAGACTAAAGATAATTTAGGGGATACAGGTGGGTAGCTTGGTGGTCAATCCACAAGATTAACTTGAGGACCCATGTTCCAGCTCAAGCACCAAAATAATAATAATAATAATAATTTCCAATCCATTTTCTATGTTGTATTTTCTTAAAATGTAGCAAGGATAATGTACAAATGTGTTTGTACCTCTGAGAGTAAAAGGTGTTCTTTAAATAAATAAACAAGCTGGGCATTGGTGGCTCACCCCTATAATCTTAACTATTCAGGAAGCTGAGATGTGAGGATTGTGGTTCAAAGCCAACCCAAGCAGGAAAGTCCATGAAACTCTCATCTCCAATAAACTACTCAGAAAGGGCTGGAAGTGCTGTGGCTCAAGTGGAAGGGCACTAGTCTTAAGCAGAAGCAGCTCAGAGACAGCGCCCAGGCCTTGAGTTCAAACCCCAGGACCAGCATCAATCAATCAATCAATCAATCAATCATTCTGTCATTACCTGATTGAGTTCAAGGTTGCCCTAGGCAACACACTGAGACTCTCAACAGGAAAATAGAAAGGACAAGAGGAGTCTAGGCAACTCAGTTGACTCTTGTTTGTATCTTTAGCTTACAAGGGAGCTCCCATGTGACTTCTGTTCCTAGGTCACCCTGAAATTTTGAGCAGTACAGAAACAAGTATTTCCTACTTGTTCTGTGTCACTGCTGCCAGCCACAGCCCACAGCTGCCTCCGCTGCTGGCTGTGTAAGCAGCCTTTACCACTCCTGCTGAGGACTGGAAGGCTGGCCTGGTGTGGGGGCAGGAGACAAGGCTTGCTGGGCAAGGCCACCTCAAAGCCATAGGTACCCTGTGAGCAGGTATAAAGGACACTGAGCCAAGTCTCTTGTGAGAGACTTGATAGTGAGTCTCTTATTAACTTCTGGGAAATCTTCCTTGACATATATTACAAGTTGCTATCTACGTTAAGCCAACCATGTTGCTTAATTTTAAAACATTACAGCCCTTCAATCTCATCCCCAGCGACTCCACAAACAGATGTCAAGATAACACTCACATGTCTGCAAAGCACTTTGAGATCCTTGGCTGGAAGGTTCTGTGAAAAATAAAAAGTATTTGTGATTGTTTCTGAACATGTGTGGACATTTATCCAAAAAACAAGAATAGGACGAATACTTACCTTGCTTTGTTCTCTTTCTTTTAAAATACATTGCAAGGAGGACCACGGATACAAGGAGAAGGACCAACAAAATCAAGGGAATCAATACCATCAATAGAAACTCTAACTGATTTTCACCATCAGGCGGGTATGTGGAGTTTGTCTCTTCAGTTAACAGGTCTGTGGTCACTGTGGTGAAGGTAGTTAATACGGTCTCTTGGCTGGTTGTTTTTTCTTCTGGAAGTGTGTCTCCCGACTGCTCTGAATCCTCTTTAGTACCTGTGGAATCACCCAGGAAGTTGTCATCGCCATGGAGACAAAGCTAGTGTGTTATGGTTCCAGTGATTTTTAAATTTATCCTAGATGCATTCAGTGATAAACTTGATCCAGGGCACTTGGCCTTTTAGCTCAGTGTGACACCGAGTATTGATTTAACATAAATGGAGCTCAAGCTGACAGTATATTATTGAACACAGAGTCAGAGCCCAGAAATAAAATTCCCAAAAAGGCAGGTGGTTTGGCTTGACCAGACATTTTGGACCTGCTTAAGCAGAGGACACTGGAAACACTGTCACATCAAAAGTGATTTCCCAAGTGGTGGAATATTCCATGTTATCGCTTGTAGGGTACTGGAGTTTTTTCTTTTTTTAAATAAAGTTTCTGAATAAGTTTAAATCTATACATACTGAAAGCATAGTTCTTGCCACGTGATACATGTAAATATAAAGCAACAGGGTGGAAAGAAAGCTCACTGAGTTCAATGCCAGCATAAACAAGGAAATAAAAATAAATGTACAGGAATGAACTGTGTGTCCTACTTTTTTTTTTTTGTAGGTTTGGTGTTTGAACTCAGCCTCTCTCTTGCTAGGTAGGTACTATCACTTGAGCCAGGTCTGCTAGTCTTTTTTACTGGAGTTATTTTTCAAATATGATCTTGTATGTTTGCCTGGGCTGGGGTGAACCTCTGTCCTCCTGATCTTTGCCTTTGAACTGGCTAGGATTGCAGATATGAGCCAAAATGCCTAGCCTGTGTGTCCTATTTTAATTTTAATTGTTCATCGTTATTATCAAGGTGATGCACAGAGGAGTTGCAATTACTCAGGTGATGAGTACATTTCTTTTTGGACAATGTCACCCCTTCCCTCACCTTCTCCCAGTTTTTCCCTTCCCATCCCCACACCCAAGTGTATGGTTCATTTTCAACACAGGGTCTATGAGTACCACTGCTGTATTTGGTCATCCTTTGTCCCTCCATTTCTGTGCCCCCTCCTTACCTTCCTGTGTCCTCATGAATGGAAAAGAATGTTTTGATGTTGGTGTGATGGCATGAGTTTGATGTTGGGTTTTTCTCCACTGTGCACAGCACTGTCTGCCCCTGGAGTTACCTGACAAACCCTCCTGGTTCTAAATAATTATATCACTGGAGAATGAAAAAAATTCCACCAGTATTTACAGTTACTTAATGAAATGCATCTGTGGAACGGTCCCTATTTCAACTGTCTTGCATAAACAAGATTATTCCATTTTAACTTCAGATCGCATTTTTTAAAAAGAAAAACACCACAGGATAGAGGGGGTAAATCTGATCAAAGTACATGTATGGAAACATCACCACGAAACCCCTTTGTACAATTAAAACATATGCTAAAAGTCGGGTGCTGGTGGCTCATGCCTTTAATCCTAGCTACTCAAGAGGCTGAGATCTGAGGATCATGGTTCAAAGCAAGCCCAGGCAGGAAAATCCCATGAGACTCTTACCTCCAATTAACCACCAGAAAACAAGAAGTGGAACTGTGACTCAAAGTGGTAGAGCACTAGCTTTGAGCAAAAAGAGCTCAGGGACAGCGCCCAGGCCCATATGTATGTGTATGTATGTGTATGTGTGTGTATGGAGTATATTTACATATATACACACATATATGCATATGTGTATATGTATATATAGCCCATATATGCATATATGTATTCATAGATGTATATACATCTATGTATACATGAACATATATATATTTATACATATATAGAGAGAAAATAAATAGGGAAGGACCACTGTTTAGCTACTATTGGAAAACACCTGTGATCACCTGGCCAGATAATGGCTATGGTAATGTGGTTGAGGGTCCCTCCTTACTGAGGAAAAGATTACCTCTATTCAGGCAACAGAAGTCATACCAAATAAGGTAAGGAACACAGAAGTTCCTCCTAAGGTGAGCAGTGTGAAGCCAATGGAGGAGTCAGCTGTTTTAAACCATACTCCCCTCTGTCAGTACTGATTAAGCCATATCTCCCTAGAATGACTAGACTGGGCACTGCAGACCTACTTCTACATTTTATCTGTCTTTGTGATTATGTAATAACAAATCCCCTAGATTCAGGTTAAAGCAATAAAAGAAAATGGTCATTGTTTTTTCCGGCTCTGTTCCTGTGTTGAGCCCTATTCTCTGATGCGACAGAACTGAAAGATGAGGCCCCTTGATGAGGTTGGTGGCCTTCTAAGGGGTCAAAACCAAGTTCCCCTCTCTATTCTAATTAAGGATGCAGAAAGATGGCCAGAAAGAGAGCCCTCACTGTATTCAAGTCCGAAGAGCACCTAGATTTTTTAACTTCTAGACGTGTCTGTTGCTTAAACCTCCCAGGCTGTGGTATCCTGTGGCCACTGAACTGACTGAGACAGTCACAGCCTCGTGATTTTGGTTATATAGATGAACCATAGGACCAGGGAATCCATTTGATAATCATTTTGGTGAATCTAATTTATTCTCTATCAGAATCTGTTGCAAATTACAAAACCACGATTAAAAGCCAAACTTGTGATCAAAGCAAACATATCTACCATTTATTGATCAACCCTTTTCGATTGACAGACTTTGTCCCATACCTCCTTATTTTCAAGGCCTTGAAATAAGTCAATGATGTAGTCACATGAATATAAACCTTTGCTAGATCACCAAAAATCCTGGACAGGGAAAGACATTTGTCCACCAGGACAACCTTGTTAAAGTCATCCTGCTTGCAGAACTACTGAGAGCAGACCAAAACTCCCCTCCAGTGAATGAGGGGGTGGCTGGGTAGAAGTACACAATGTCTTTGGTGGTGGTGACCTTTGTTTCTGGAGGTCAGTGCGTAAGAGTTCCTGGAACACTCAGATTCCTCTTTTATTATTTATCCTGGTTTTTTGGATGCTAGGGATTAACGCAGGGCCTCACACATTCTCAGCTTACCCTCTATTAGAGAGCTCTGCCTTTGCCCCTGCTTTTCTTTCTTCTGCCTCATTCTGCTGTGGAGGATGCTGTCAGTAAATTCTCAAAAAGATGAACCTGCAGTACTAAGATCTCAACCTCATGCAGTGTTTGCCTGTACTTTCCCACTTTGTTCCCTGTGTGTTTTTGGATAGACAAAGAGAAGTTTCTCGAGATTACAGAGCTAATATGGGATCCCAAGCTATTACCCTCACCTTCTACTTTCCTGCCAAACTGGAAGGTATATTATACTTTATAAAGCATAGCCAGAATGTGGTAAGCAAGAGAGAGGAGCCAATGGTCTTGAACCCTCAGCCACCTTGGTACAAGAGGTAGCTTCTGGATTGAAGCCAAGGGTGGGAATGGTTCCCAGAAAACCTGGCATTGCTCAGGCTTTTGCTCAGGCTCTTCACCCCAGATGCACTGCAAGCAAAGCTGCCATAAACCCAGGAGCCTTCACAGCATCTCTCCAAGGGAGGCGGGTGAAATTCCTGGTAGAACATTTATTACTGAGTCCTTGCTCCACCGACAGCCCCAGAGAAGAGAAATAGAGGACACAAGCTAGCAAGAATAATGAAGACTTCAACAATCAGGAATGAAAGAGAAAGGGAAAGAAGGGTCCTTTCGGGGGAGGGGAGGGTATTCATTTTCATTATGAGACAAGGCTGGTCACAGGTTGTGGTGTGAAGGTAGAGGGGTTGGGAGTTCTTTCTACCAACTCCCATTTCCACACATGTTCTGTATTAAGCATCATTTGCACTGGTTTTCCAGGAACCATTTAAATTCTTTCATTTTATTTTTCTTTATCCCTTAATGAGACTCCCATGGCACCCATGGAGGTTGAAATCACTAGGGGTCAGCCCCAAGAGTCTGTGTAGGAAGAAATTAAACGTTCTAGAAAGGAGGGCTGGCAAACGAGGATGGGCTGAGAATTCAAGTTAGAAGCAGGAGAGGGTCACCTAGGCAACACAAGTGAGACTGAGGAAGGAAGTCACAGGTAGACAAAAACCCAGGTGGAACCAGAGAGGATGCGAAGGTCACAAAAGGAGAGCTGTCGGTGGAGTCAGCAGAAGGCAGCTTGGAGAGCCTGTCCCCAGATACAGCAGCAGCTCTTCCCACAGCTTAGCTAACAGCACTTTTTAACCCTACGTACACGGCCTTAAAACCACTGTGTTCGCCTCATGTAACCCTCCTGGGCTCTAGCCTTTCCTAAGAAATGCTTGCTAAGGGCCGTCATAGTCCAGGATGGTATCTGTGGTAAACCTGGAATGCATTCTGAGTAAAGACAACATCTCAAATCTCGAGATCAACGCCAGTGATGATGTCTAAGGTTCAGGTTCATTTTCTCCACCAATTAAAGAATTAAAGGACCATAAAGTCGCTGAAGCAGACAGACTTGAAAGCAAAAAACCAGCAAAACTGACCGGGCGCTGAAGACCACAGTCCCCAGCAGGGCCTGTTCTCTATATAGCCCTCCCCCCCACCACCTCAACCCCCTTGACCGGGTCCTTTTCCCCAAGGTTATGCTTCTGATTGGTCAAGGGATAGCTATGTGCCGCGAGAAGTCTCATGATTGGTTCTCCTGCTTGGGGCCACAAGCACAGAAGCAGCCCTATGATTGGATCCCCCATCTGCACAGGCATGGAAAAGACTCCTGATTGGTTGGAGGCTGGAGGCGGGGCGGGGTCACCAAGGTGGGATCTAGAGCCACAAAGAGCGCATGCGCTCTTCATGGGCGCGGGACTGGTTTGTTTGTTGTCTTTTTTGTTTTGTGTTTTTTAAGCGGAGTCACTTTTCCTCCATGTTGGAGCTGGTCCTGGTCTAACTGCGTAGCCAGAGGAACCTAATTTTTCCTCACTGCCATGTGGGAGCACCCGACTCGTTCAGAAGTGAACACGGATAGGAGTCGGTGAGGACGCGCAGGGGCATCGCCTGTGCTGGCCTCTGGGACTCTGGACAGAAAGAACCCTGGTAGGACAGACGGAAGAAAGGGGTTCGGAAGACCTGCTGCTGCTGCTACTGCCTTCCTTCACGCCGGTG